TACTACAGCCATTACCCTCACCACCACCCCGAGTTCTCCGTCTGCTCACCGCACCCTCCCCCGGTGCTTCCCGCCCACAGCATCTTCAACCTCAAGTACTCGGAGCTGCCCGCGTCCGACTACAGCTACTACCTCTATGGCTTCCAGGACGAGACGGACTTCGAGGAGTTCAAGCAGGACTTGAGGGATTTTCAGAAACTCAAACGTGACTCGTGCGCGGCTTCGTCATCATCGTCGTCGTCAACGTCGGCTTCTTCTTTGTCTTCAGCTGCTGCTGGTGTTGGCGATATTCGCGATAACGGTAGTGGATGTGGTAGTGGTAGTGGGGAAGTAGAAGCTGATGATTTCCTCGACGTGCAGGAAGACCTCGAGTTGATCTGTCGGCCGAATAGCGCGTGCAAGAGCAAGAGGAAGAGTCTCGGAGGTAGACGCAGAGATTTGCTACAGTCCAGTGTGAATAGTTGCGTGATCCCTGAACTTACAGTGCCTCCTACTCAAACACATCCATCAGGTATTGATGTTGGTGTTGGTGGCGGTGGTACACCAGTAAACCCTCCGCAGTGTACGACAGACGTGAAATGCAGCAGACGTGTGTCTGGGGGCAGTCCACAGTCAATCCGTAGACCTGTGAGTAAAGTAGTGACCAAGCTACGTCCAGACTCGTTCAGCCTGCGGGCGGACTTTGACCGTAGGAGCGGGCTGTTCGGCTTCGACAGAAGGAGCGGCCTGCGCTCGAGCATCAATGACATTCTCATGGAGTTTATGAACGGGGATGAGCACTTCCAGGAGTTTGAGCGCGTCTACGAGACGATAAACAGCCGGAGGTATTCCCGAGACATGGATAACAGGAGAAGGTATTCGTCTCACAGCGGGTCCGGCTCGGATCTGAAAGGCTGTAACAATAATAATAATAATAAGCACAGTAACAATAACAACAAAAGTTGCAACAGCATTAACAGTAATGGAGAGAGAGAAGAAGGAGATGAAGAAGAATCGCGGACGGTGTTTCTCAACGACACGTTTGCCGACTTCTTCGAGAACGACGAGGATTTCCTCGAGTTTGAGAAAGAGTTTGAGAAATTTCGGCTGAACCGCCGGTCTAATTTATTGGGCAGCCTGAGCAGTATGGGCTCGAGCAAGGACATCTTCGGCGACGTGAAGTCGTTCTGCAGCAGATCCAGCACGGGCTCCCTGCTCAGCGTCAACTCGTGCTCCTCCGAGGGCGAGGCTGCCCCGAGTTGTCCGGAAGAGGCCGAGGAGCGAGGGCTGATGTGGCGGTCCCCGGAGGACTGGGAGAAGATGCTGAGGAAGATGAGGCGCAACAGCCGCCTGTTGATGGAGTCAAAGAGACAAGGCGGCCCCCACAACCGGCACCGGCACTCGCTCTACGGCTTGGCCAACACGAACAGTGGACACGTTTCTGGTGGTGGTGTTAGTGGTGCGGAGAGGTATCAGAAAACGCAGTCTCTGGCCGATCTTAGCTCGTATGATCTCAACAACGAGTCACCGAAATACCGACCGTCGTCATCGTCGTTGTCTTCGTCGTCGGCGAGACCTTGTGATAGTAGACCCGGGACTCGACCCACGGCTCAGAGGTCGCAGTCCATCAGTGACGGTCTTCAGAGCTCGACGACCACAGCAGCGGCGGCACCCGATCGGTCGACGAGGAGCCTGACATATCTTGACGTTCAGAGCGACTCGGATTTGTCGCAGATCGGCGCGGGTCGTGTCGGTGATCGTGACCAGCACGCTGTTCTCACGCGCATGGACAGCGACAGTTGCGGGTCAATGGACGCCCTGTCCGGCGGGAGCTGTAACGACGAAGAGTGCCAGCAGTGCTCCGCCAGGTTCGACGAGGAGATCGACGAGGAGGACGATAACCGCTACTCCTCCAGCTCCACGCTGTGCTCCTCCACCGACGACGACCTCTCGCTCAGCATCTCCTGCTCGTTCTGCTCGGACCTGCACATCGAGGAGGACACGGACGATGACCTCTGCCCAGCCTCCTCCTCCTCCTCCCCCAACGACCCGGCCCGCCTCCGCAGTCAGTCCCTGGTGGAGTTGGGTCAGCACCACCGCGCCCACCATCAGTCTCGGCCGCTCGCCCACCACCACCACCATGCCTTCTCGGCGCACGATCTCATCCGCTGTGATAAATTCCCGGAGACACTCGCATCCGGGGCGAAAACCCCGCCGTCTTCTCTGTCTACGTCTTCTCTCAACTCTGCTGCTTCTTCTTCTTCTCTGCCTCGGAGAAGGAATAACTACGACTCATCATTATCGCCGTCTCCATCATCATCATCATCTCATCGTAACTCCAGGTCTTTCTCAGATCGAGAATCCACCGATTCTTTGAACAATTCTGAAACTCATGATGATAAGTATCACGCCCATGGTGCCAAATACCGCTATAACGGCGACGTCGTCGAGGGTGACGTCATCAAAGACGGGAATGACGGCTTCAAAGACGGGAGTGACGTCACGGCTTCCCCGGCCTCCAGCAGGAGCTCGTCCTCGTGCGCGATCAGCGCTCGCCTCTCGGACACAGACTCGGATGCCTATGACACGGCCAGGTCGGACCTGAGTGACCACTACTCCACCGCCCAGTCGGACCTGTCCGCCGCTCTGTCCATCTCCTCCGCCCCCTCCGCCCCCACACGCCGGCCGGGCGGGGAAAGAGGAGGCTCGAGCGGCAGCGGTCAGCGAGGTGTACGCTGCTCTCAGAGCTTTGACCTCTCCGGCTTGACCGCCGTCCCGGACGACTCGGGTGTGTCCAGTTACCTGGACGAGTGGACGCGTGGACGTTACGGCACGGGCCAGGAGGTGGAGGAGGAGGATGATCATGTCCAGTTTCTGAGCCGGCACAGCGGCGGGTCCCTGGGGAGTCTGGCTCGCCCACGACGTAGGGAGTATAAGGGGGATCGTCGGCGGCCGCACTCGGGTAAGCTTGTTACACTGATGTACGGCTACAGTCTGCATCATGGTGCTTGATGATCTGGTAGTGTCTGGAGGTCAGGCATTTCAGCTGTCAGACATCCCTATTTCTTCCTCATTGTTTTCGTCCTTTTCCCACCTCTTCTTCGTCCCCATCTCTTTCCCTGTTCTCATCATTGTCTTTCTCTTCAACCCCGCCCCTCTCCGTTTCATTCTCCTCTTCTTCCCTATCCCTCTCCTTTTCTTCCTGTTCTTTCTACATCATCTCCTCACCCCCCCCTCCTCTTCCTTCTGCTCCAAAGACACTTTTTTCTGCAATGTCAGGCTGTCATTGCGTCGAGTCGCTTCTCCTTACTCCCATCTATCTTGCCTTCTCTCTGTTACCTGTGCCCCCCCCTCCCTGGCCAGCTCTAAATGACCGTTACTGCGTCGTTGTGCTTATCTTAACTCAATCTTACACTAAACCCCGTCTCTGTCGCCTTCCTTAAACGGCCTTTATTGGGTCTATGTGCTTCCCTTTACTCAATCTTACACTAAATCCCGTCTCTCTCTCCTTCCTAAACGGCCGTTATTGCGTCGATGTGCTTCTTCACTTTACTCAAAACTTACACTAAACCCCTGTCTTTCCCTAGCCTTTTCCACACGACCGTTATTGCGTCCAGTCACTCCTCTTTCCTCGGAACTTACACTAAACCCCTGTCTTTCTCTAGCCTTTTCTAAACGACCGTTATTGCGTCGAGTCGCTTCTCTATCCTCAAACAAGTTGTGAGTGTTATGGAGATGTTAGTGCTGACACGATGGGCGTTTATCAGCAGTGACCACCACCTTCCCACAGCCCCCCCCTCCCCCCTGGCTACACTACAAAGCCGAGGTTTTTGTGCGAGCAAATACCCAGTGCTCAGCGCCCACTCCCCTGACACGTACAGTTGTTGGACATGATGGATCTTATCGCCTTG